TTGAAAGGCTCATCATGGGTCACATCAACATCATCATCCCAGACACCCTGGACCCACCTAATTCGCATACCGCCCCAACATATCCACAGATGATGCAATCTCTATTGCGCTACATTCTGCCCTTTCCCAGCGTCAGCAAGACAAAGAAACTGATCGTGGACTACAGGAAACGGAGAGCCAAGCACGCCCCCATTCACATCGACAGGACTGTAGTGCAGCGGATCGAGAGCTTCAAGTTCCTCAGTGTCCACATCACCAAGGATCTAACGTGTTCCACACACACCAACACAGTCGTGAAGAGGGCACAACAACGCCTCTTCCCCCTCAGATCCTCAAAAATGTATACAGCTGCACCATTGAGAGCATCTTGACTGGCTGCATCACCACTTGGTATGGCCACTACTTGGCATCCAACCGCAAGGCGCTACACATCACTGGGGCCGAGCTCCCTGCCATCCTGGACCTCTATACCAGGCAGTCTCAGTGGAAGGCCCTAAAAAGTGTCAAAGACTCCAGCCACAGACTGTTCTCTCTGCTATCGCACGGCAAGCGGTGCAGATGCACCAAGTCTAGAACCAACAGGACTCTGAACATCTTCTACTCCCAAGCCATAAGACTCCTAAATAGTTAACCAAATAGCTACTCGGACTATCTGTATTGACCTTTTTGCACTCATCACATACGCTGCTGCTAGCTTTTATTGTCTGTCCTGTTGCCTAGTGACTTTATTCCTAGTTATATGTACATATCTACCTCAATTAACTTGTATCCCTGCACGCCGACTCGGTACCTTGTGTACATAGCCAAGTTATTGTTAGCCATTGTGTATTTATTACGCGTTTGTAACGAAGATGCTAGGAGCTGATGGTGAGTTTAATAATTACAAAACAAGAGAATACTGCCTGATGACTGAGGTTGGTGAGGGCTATATGAACGGAGAGCAGGTGTACGGCCCCGAGGGCGAGGAGCGGGCCGGTACAGATGGCGGAGATGGAAATCCCGGATGATGTTGGGGTCCAGGATGTCCGCCACTGGGACCCAAGAGCGCTCCTCAGGACTGTACCCCTTTCAGTCCACCAAGTACTGGAGCCGACCCACACGATGTCAGGAGTCCAGGAGGGACCTAACATCATAGGCGGGGGTCCCCTTGATGTCCAGGGGAGGCGGAGGGGTGTTGCATGGGACGGCGTCAGCCAGGGGACCAGGAACCACCGGCCTGAAGAGGGAAACATGAAAGGAGGGTGAGATTCGGTAGTTGGTGGGGAGTTCTAAACGATAGGTTACCTCATTGACCCTCCGGGGGACCTTGAAGGGCCCCACAAACCGGGGGCTCAGCTTCCGGCAAGCAGGAGGTTCCTGGTGGAGAGCCAGACACGATCACCAGGATGACACACGGGAGCCTCACTGTGGTGGCAGTCCACCTGATCCTTCTGACGGTGGGCTGGCGCCTCACGTGTGCGGCATTTCACACCTCCTCTGTGAGCCAGAACCACTCATCAACTGCAAGGGCCTCGGTTTGGCTCGGAGTCCATGGAGCCGGCTGATATCCCAGGATGCACTGGTGTGGAGGAGTGATGAAGTGAGTTCTGGGCGTATTCCTCCCAGGGAAGGAACCGGGCCCACTCCCCCTGCCGGTCCTGGCAGTGACTCCTTAGGAACCTCCACAGCTCCTGGTTGGTCCTCTCCACCTGCCCATTAGACTGAGGCCGGTACCCGGATGTGAGGCTGACTCTGGCCCCCAGCTTCTCCATAAAGGCTTTCCAGACCCGTGACGTGAATTGGGGACCACGGTCATTAACAATGTCTTCCGGAAGGCCATAGTGCCAGAAGACATGCTGGAATAGTGCTTCAGTGACCTGGAGAGCGGTAGGGAGACCAGAGAGAAGGATAAAATGGCAGGATTTTGATAATCTGTCAACCAAAATAGTGGTAAAACCATCAGAAAGGGGGAGATCCATTACAAAGTATATGGACAGATGTGACCAAGGCCGCTGAGGCACAGAAAGGGAAGTAGTTTACCTGCTGGAGCATGCCAGGGAGATTTGGAATGAGTAAATACCGAACATGAGTTGACATAGTGGGCGATGTCCTGCGCCAAGGTGGGCCAACAGTATTTATCGGAGAGGGATTGGATGGGGCGGGTGATACCTGGGTGTCCAGTGGCGAGGGATGTGTGTGCCCAGGTCAACAGCCGAACTCTCACCCCCGTGGGGACGTAGATGCACTCTGGATGGCAGGTGGCAGGAGCGGGTTCTCTCTCCAAAGCCTGGCAGATGTCCACATCTATGTCCCAAAACACAGGGCCAATGATACTGGAGGACCACTTGATGGGCTGGAGGACACTCACAGGACCCACCACCGACGTGGAACCACAGGGTGTGGGAAAGCAGGTCCTCCAGCAACGTGGTCCCCAGTCTGTGATTCTCATCTTTGACCAGAAGATGGTGGGATTATGGAGTTGGAGCCACGGGAGGCTGAGGATGACTGTGTGAGGGTGTATGATGATGAAGGGAAGGTTGTCCTGGTGCTTGGGTTCCACAGTGAGGGTGAGTGGTGCTGTGACGTGACTAATTGTGCCGGATCCCAATGGTCGCATAACTAGGGCTTGGACAGGAAAAGGAGAGCGGGTATGAGGTCAAGTTCAGGGAGGAGGAAAGGGCCTGGTCGATAAAGTTCCCCACGGCAGTCCACTAGAGTTGTAGAGACAACACTTGAGGGACAGCCAGTGAAATGGGAACCAGAAAGAGTTTGGCGGAAAACGAAGATAATGGAATACTCACGCCTACCCTGAGGGACGGAAGGTCACGGGGCCGCCACTTTGCTCTAGTGGACCCCAGGTTAGGATGCACCGGACACCACTGAAGCTGATGCCCCTCCTGGCCGCAATAGGGACAGAGCCCCAGCGGTCTCCGGCGACGCGGAGAGGTGTGTGGCCCATACCTCCATTGGTGGAGAGCCGGCTCATTCCATCCGCTGGAGGCTGCCACAGTCCGAAAGGTGAGGGCGTACTCCGCAGTAGTCTGGGCACCCTGCTGGAGTTGGAGAAGTCGCTCACCTCCCTCTCTGCCCTCTGGAGGATGGTCGAAGACTGCCCTGAACCTCTCATAGGAACCCAGCTCCTCCTCTCCACTCTCGCAGATGGCTGTAGCCTACTCCAACACCCATCCGGTCTGCAGGAAAATGACTGTGGCAACCTTGGACTTCTCGTGGTGGGGGCTCCCATCTGATATGTGAAATAGAGGGAGCACTGGAGTAGGAAGCCACGGCATTTCGATGGAGTGCCGTCATACTTCTCCGGAAGGGACAGTCGGGCATCGCTGACCTGGGCCGACGGCTGGGGGACTGGCTCACTGTGACGACCCGTGGTAGGAGGCCCTCCGTCAAAGGTATGGAGAACCTCGCAGGTGGTGTCGAGGCGGTGGAGAACGGAGAGGACCTCCTTCATGGTCCTACCCAGTAGAGCCAGCTGGTCGTGGTGTTGGTGTAGATGACCCTGTTCCTCGACCGTCTGGAAGATGGTGTAATCATCTGCTGCTTCCATAATTTCTGAGGCAGTATTCTGTAACGAAGACGTAAGGAGTCAGGTGCAGATGGTGAGTTTAATAATAACGACCATGGCGATTTACAAGAGAAGCGTCTGGACATGATAACAGAACCAATACTGCCTGATGACTTAGGTTGGTGAGGGCTATATGAAGGGAGAGTAATCAGGGTGGTGATGAAATCCAGGTGTGCTTAACGATGGGGAGCAGGTGTGCGCAATGATGGTTGCCAGGTGTGCACAATGTGGGTTGCCAGGACCGGTGCTTAGTAGACCGGCGATGTCGAGTGCCGGAAGGAGGGAGCAGGAGTAGGCTTGACAGCGTTATTACTTTTCTAAACACCAAACAACAGTGTACTCTGTGTTAGTAATGTGTGAGTGACCGACAGGCCGTGGTTTCCTTTGTGATAGAGATGGCTGGAGACCATTGAGATGATTAGATCACATCTCCTCTTTGATTTGTACAAATCAGATTTTATTTCCACATGAGTGCATGGCTGTATAGCTTCCTCCTACTGAGATATAGCTGGCAACACTGCAATGCTCCACTCTCCGCTAATCCAACATGTCACTTCTCTATCTAAATGTTATTAACATTATTTAGCAAAAATACTCAAATAAGGCTATGTTCACAGTGGGGAGGGCAGAGGGCACTCACTCACCCATTCAAACACTCATGCCAAATCAGTGAATTTTTCCATGCAATTGGACATTTCTTGAAATACTAACTTTGATTGACCCTCTGTATTTGTATTGGGCTGACCGGTCTGATTTCCCCTCATGCCGTGAGCTTGTCTAGTTTCTTGGAAAACGGGAGGTATTTCTAGGTAGGGGATGACCCATGCTGCTAGGATGGGATAATGGTGAGTGCATGGACTCTGAGCGAGGCAAGGCAAGAGAGCGAGGGAATGGTCTGGTGGGGAGGAGGGGGGGGGGGCTCAGGAGGGGGCTGGCTGTCAGCAGGTGATGGCTGATCGCTGTACATCACTTATGCTGAAATGTGTTTGTGGTGAGATTAATGGGAAACAGTAATCAAAATAACAGTCATGCATGCATGTAATGATAATTCACCCACTCAGACTCTACATCCTGAATTACAATGGTTGGCAGAAAGTGGGAAATGTTCACTTTTGAGGAATTCGGATCCCAGAGGGGAGTGGTTTCGGGGAGGTAGCTAGCAAAGTGAGAGTAGAGTCATGTTCCAGTGGTTGCACTTTTTGACTAACGTGAAAGTCCAGCATCGTATCGTTGCCTTGTGACCTGATCTGTATTTCATTGCCTGGATAGAAACTATTTGTTGATAATGATTAAGCTTTAGCGATAAAGCTAAAGGTAAAAGCTTAAATGAGCAGTAAGCTAATAACAATGAATAAAAAATAAGTAAAACAAACACTGCTTTTGTATATTTGTTCTATATTTCAGTAACAAGAAGCTCCGAACTCCTCCTAACTATTTCATCATGAATCTGGCAGTGAGTGACTTCCTCATGGCCATCACACAGTCTCCCATCTTCTTTGTCAACTGTCTCTACAAGGAATGGGTGTTTGGAGAAACAGGTACTTTTACCTTCATTCCATACATTTGGTAAAATACCTGCATCAGATCAGTTGTCATAATTGAAAGCTTCAGCTATTTTGGTATTTTGAGATGAATTTTGCTGTATATACTGAACCAAAAATACTCTTCAAAGTAATTCTGTGGAAATTCCATCTCTCTGAGATTACTCAGATTGTAAGATTTCTGTTTTTTGTCTCTGTGAAATGATTTCTGTTTTTTGTCTCTGTGAAATGATTTCTGTTCAGGCTGTAAGATGTACGCCTTCTGTGGGGCCTTATTTGGGATCACCTCCATGATCAACCTGCTGGCGATCTCCATTGACCGCTACATAGTCATCACCAAGCCCCTGAAGGCCTTGCACTGGACCTCTAAACGCCGCACCTCCGTTGTAATCGTCATAGTCTGGCTCTACTCGCTGGCCTGGAGCCTGGCGCCTCTCCTGGGCTGGAGTGAGTTCCCTCCACTAACACTATCCTTTTGGGTGCCATGTTTTGCTAGACAATGACACCAATGGAGTTGGCAAGAGCCCAAACAGATCTGGGACCAGGCTAGCAACCTTTTATCTTATCTTTCAAACTCTCTCACTCTGCTATCACTCTTCCTCTTCTCTCTACAGGTGTACTGAAACAATCATTTCCTCTCGCTCTCGTTCTTACACACTTGGTCCCTAACCGACCCCAACCTCAACCCTAACCCAATGTCCCTATCCAGGTTCCTATATCCCGGAGGGCCTGATGACATCCTGTACGTGGGATTATGTGACCTCCACACCAGCCAATAGGAGCTACACTCTGATGCTATGCGTCTTTGTGTTCTTCATCCCTCTGGGCATCATCTCCTACTGCTACCTCTGCATGTTCCTGGCCATACGCACCGCCAGTAGGTGAGTTGGTACATTCACACAGCCATGCCTCTGTGTGCATACACACATAGACATATACTGTACTTATATACACACACACATGCATGCACACAAGCACGCATGCACACACACTCATATGCACACACACACAATCAAAACACACATCCAGACGATGGGGCCCTCTGGTTGTCTATCTTCGTCTGACACCCCCCCATCCCCTCTCCGATGCCCACAGAGACATGGAGAAGCTGGGCAGTCAGGTAAGGAAGTCCACCCTGATCCAGCAGCAGTCCATCAAGACTGAGTGGAAGCTGGCCAAGATCGCCTTTGTAGTCATCATCGTGTATGTGATGTCCTGGTCTCCCTACGCCTGCGTCACCCTCATCGCCTGGGCTGGGTAACTATGGAGTTACATATGGATTTCAATGGGGTTCAGTTCCCATATTCATAAAGCGTCTCAGTAGTGCTGATCTAGGATCAGTTTTGCCTGTTTAGAAAATGATGAATAAGATTACAGGGACAGGGGGGATCTGATGAAAGATGGCGCCGTACTGTATGGCTGCCGTTTTGCAAGCTCTGACCCAACTTTACCTATTTTGTGATTCTGTCGTTTATTTTTACTTAATTTTCTCTAAATGTATCCGCTATCATTTCTTTCAGATTGGCAGTTACTTACCTCAATTCCGGCTTCAACTTCGACTCATTTTCCGTTGGCTCTTTCTGTAATTCCGACCCAATTTACGGGCTACCCAAGAGGAAACACAGACGTTACAGAGGCAAGAGAGGGGGGATCCTGGAGAGATTAAAGCGAAGGGAGAACCGGCCACCTCTTCCCCGCATTCTACTGGTCAATGTACAGTCCCTTAATAATAAGATGGATGACCTAGGATTGAAATATTCTCGGCTTTTCAGAAATATGGCTCTCGGACACCCCCCATGGCTATCCAACTCGATGGATTCTCCATTCACCATGCAGACAGGACAGAGGAGTCGGGGAAATCGAGGGGGGGAGGGGTTTGCCTCTTCGTCAACAACAACTGGTGTTCTGACTCGAGCACTGTGGAAGTGTAAACCCATTATTCACCTGTCTTGGAATACCTGATGCTGACCCTTTTACCTCCCAAGGGAATTTTCAGCTGTTATCGTGACATTCCAGCTCAGGACAAGAAAAATAACAAGCTGGCACTTAACGAACTGTAGCAGGCTATAACCAAGCAGGAAAACGTACATCTAGAGGTGCCCAACTTCCATCAACACGTCTCCCTCACCACTAGGGGCGATAAAGTCCTAGACCACTAACATTCTAGCCACAAGCAAGCATACAAGGCCCTCCCTCATCCATTCGACAAATGACTCCTGCTTCCTGTTTACAAGCAGAAGCTCAAACAGGAATGACCCGTGACTCGCTCCATTGAGAAACGGTCTCCAGAATCATTGATTATGCTACAGGACAGCTTTGCTAGCACTGATTGGAATATATTTTGGGACTCCACTGATTGGAATATATTTTGGGACTCCGCCGATAACGTTGATGAGCTAACCACCTCCGTCACCAGCTTCATTAGGAAATGCATCAGCAACGTTGTCCCCATAGTTAAGGTTTGCTGCTTCCCCAATCAAAAGCCCTGGGTTAACACTGAGATTGGCACTAAACTAAAGGATAGGGCTACCACACACAGGGTTATCGCAGACAACCCTGAGGCTATGGCTGAGGATAGGAACAAGTACAAGAAGTCCCGCTATGACCTCCGCAGAGTCATCAAACCAGCAAAATGACAATATAGGAATAAGGTAGAATCATATTATACAGGCTCCGATGCCCGCTGCATGTGGCAGGGGCTACGGTCCATTACGGATTACAAAGGAAGACCCAGCCGTGATCTGCCCAACGATGCCACTCTACCAGACGAACTCAATGCATTTTATGCACGCTTTGACAATAACATCGTATCGGGTGTGCGGGCCACCACCAACCAGAAGATTGGGTGATCTCACTCTCCGAGGCCGACGTGAGTAAAGTCTATTCAGGTCAATACCCGTAAGGCTGCGGGGCCCGATGGTATTCCAGGGTGCATTCTCAGAGCATGTACAGAACAGCTGGCAGGTATATTCACAGTAATTTTCAACCTCTCCTTGTCCCAGTCTGTAATCCCCACGTTTTACGATGACAACCATCATTTCTGTTCTCAAGAACTCAAAGGCTTCATGCCACAATGACTACTGCCCTGTAGCACTCACATCTGTAATCATGAAGTGCTTTGAGTGGCTGGGTATAGCACACATCAACTCCGACACCCTAGACACACTTCAATTTGCATACCTCCCCAACAGATCCATAGACAACTAAATCTCAATTGCATTCCACACTGCCCTCACCCACCTAGATAAGAGGAATACTGTACATATGTGAGAATGCTGTTCATTAACTACAGCTCAGAGTTCAACACCACTGTCCTCTCCAAACTCGTCACCAAGCATAGGACCCTGGGACTGAACACTTCCCTCTGCAACTGGATCCTGGACTTCCTGGCGGGACGACCCCAGGTGGTGAGGGTAGGCAACATCATCTCCGTCACGCTGACCCTCAACACGGGGGCCCCACAGGGGTGTGTGCTTAGTCCCCTCCTGTACTCCCTGTTCACCCACGACTGTGTGGCCACGCACGATTCGAACACCATCATAAAGCTTGCTGACGACACGTTGGCAGTAGGCCTGATCCCCGGCGACGATGAGACAGCCTACAGGGAGGTCAGTGACCTGAAAGTGTGGACCCGGAACAACAACCTCTTCCTCAACCGTCAGTAAGACCAAGGAGCTGATCGTGGACTGCAGGAAAGGGGGGGGGGGGGGGGGGCAAGCACGCCCCCATCCACATCGATGAGGCTGCAGTGGAGTGGATCGAGAGCGTGAAGTTCCTCTGTGTCCAAATCACTAAGAAGTTAAAATGGTCCACACATGTGCACAGTCGTGAAGAAGGCGCGACAGGAGGTTGAAAAAGTTTGGCATGGGCCCTCAAATCCTCCAAAAGTTACAGTTGCACCATTAAGAGCATCTCCACTGGCTACATCACTGCTTGGTATGGCAATAGCACCGCCCTCGATCGCATGGCCCTACAGAGGGTGGTGTGGACAGCCCAAAATTGTTAAAGACTCCAACCACGCAAGCCATAGACTGTTCGCTCTGCTTCCACTTGGCAAGCAGTATCAGTGCATCAAGTCTGACACCAACAGGCTCCCTGAACAACAGCTTCTATCCCCATGCCATAAGACGGCTAAATAGCTAATTAAATAGCTAACAAAATATCAGAGTTGTCCTTTGTATTTAATTCTTATCTATGCACACTCACAGGGCCCTACACATAACGTACATTGATACTCCAACCCACATACACACACTCCATCATTTGCTCACACACACAGAATTTGCACATACATTTATACTGACTCTACACACACCCACTCACATACACGCTGCTGCTACACTGTTTATCATATATCCTGATGCCTAGTCACCTTACCCCTATACATACAGTTGAAGTCGGAAGTTTACATACACTTAGGTTGGAGTCATTAAAACTCGTTTTTCAATCACTCCACAAATTTCTTGTTAACAAACTATAGTTTTGGCATGTCGGTTAGGACATCTACTTTGTGCATGACACAAGTAATTTTTCCAACAATTGTTTACAAACAGATTATTTCACTTATAATTCACTGTATCACAATTCCAGTGGGTCAGAAGTTTACATACACTAAGTTGACTGTGCCTTTAAACAGCTTGGAATATTCCAGAAAATGATGTCATGGCTTTAGAAGCTTCTGGTAGGCTAATTGACATCATTTCAGTCAATTGGAGGTGTACATGTGGATGTATTTCAAGGCCTACCTTCAAACTCAGTGCCTCTTTGCTTGACATCATGGGAAAATCAAAATAAATCAGCCAAGACCTCAGAAAAAAAATTGTAGACCTCCACAAGTCTGGTTCATCCTTGGGAGCAATTTCCAAATGCCTGAAGGTACCACGTTCATCTGTACAAACAATAGTACCCAAGTATAAACACAATGGGACCACGCAGCCATCATACCGCTCAGGAAGGAGACACGTTCTGTCTCCTAGAGATTAACATACTTTGGTGCGAAAAGTGCAAATCAATCCCAGAACAGCAAAGGACCTTGTGAAGATGCTAAAGGAAACAGGTACAAAAGTATCTATATCCACAGTAAAAAGAGTCCTATATCAACATAACCTGAAAGGCCGCTCAGCAAGGAAGAAGCCACTGCTACAAAACCGCCATAAAAAAGCCAGACTATGGTTTGCAACTGCACATGGGGACAAAGATCGTACTTCTTGGAGAAATGTCCTCTGGTCTGATAAAACAAAAATAGAAATGTTTGGCCATAATGACCATCGTTATGTTTGGAGGAAAAAGGGAAACGCTTGCAAGCCAAAGAACACCATCCCAACCATGAAGCACGGGGGTGGCAGCATCATGCTGTGGGGGTGCTTTGCTGCAGGAGGGACTGGTGCACTTCACAAAATAGATGGCATTATGTGGAAGGAAAATTATGTGGATATATTGAAGCAACATCTCAAGACATCAGTCAGGAAGATAAAGCTTGGTCGCAAATGGGTCTTCCAAATGGACAATGACCCCAAGCATACTTCCAAAGTTGTGGCAAAATGGCTTAAGGATAACAAAGTCAAAGTATTGGAGTGGCCATCACAAAGCCCTGACCTCAACCCTATAGAAAATGTGTGTGCAGAACTGAAAAAGCGTGTGCGAGCAAGGAGGCCGACAAACCTGACTCAGTTACACCAGCTCTGTCAGGAGGAATGGGCCAAAATTCACCCAACTTTTTGTGGGAAGCTTGTGGAAGGCTACCCGAAACGTTTGACCCAAGTTAAACAATTTAAAGGCAATGCTACCAAATACTAATTGAGTGTATGTAAACTTCTGACCCACTGGGACTGTGATGAAATAAATAAAAGCTGAAATAAATCATTCTCTCTACTATTATTCTGACATTTCACATTCTTAAAATAAAGTGGTGATCCTAACTGACCTAAAACAGGGAATTTTTACTAGGATTAAATGTCAGGAATTGTGAAAAACTGAGTTTAAATGTATTTGGCTAAGGTGTATGTAAACTTCCGACTTCAACTGTATTTACCTCTATCGATCCAGTATCCCTGCACATTGTAAATATGGTATTGGAACTGACCCTGTATAATAGTATGCTTACTTTATCGTGTTCTTCTTATATCTCGTGGGTTTTTGTTCTACCTTGTTATTTTTAGTATTACATTGTTATTTAATACTGCATTGTTGGGGTTAGAGCTTGCGAAGAAAGGCATTTTACTGTACTTGTTCATGTGTACATTAAAACTTGAAACTTGATCCTAGATCAACTTCTAATCTGAGATGCTATATGAATACAGACCCTGATCTAGTTGTTGAGATGCTTAAGCAATGGTTATAGTTAGAGGGCATGTGATCTGGATATTATGAAGGATCAGGAGTCATGAATAGTTATTTTTTTCTGACTGTCTTGATTCAGATATGAAGTTGAGGATTTTACTGTAGTTACTGCAGATCTTTGGTTAATGCAGAAAAATCTGGGATACATTATTTTCGAATCCCACTCCAAATTATTTTAAAGTAAGGCTGGGATTGGTTCGGAATGGCAGGCACCTATGGGTTGAAGAGGTGAGAGTCTGAGACAGACTGCTTTGAGAGTTTTGAAACGCTATCAGGGTCAGGGACAGTTTAAACAGATGTTTTTTTGAGTTTTGTATGGGGAACGTACTGTACGTACTGCAGTGAGAGTAGAGGTGAAGAGAGTGGATGTGAAGTGATGTGAGTGCAGTCTGTCGGAGAGGAGGGATAATCAAGCATGTGATTCCTCCTGCTCACTCCACAACACCTTTGGGTCACTGCCAGGCCATACAAACAGGTTGCACAGGAGCCAACTAGGCAGGCAGTACAAACAGACACCCACTGACTGACCAAGGCACAGACAGGCATGGGCTGACTCATTACTGACCATCCACTGACATTCTGTACAAACACAGAGTTCAGACTCCAATCTTATTTTTTAGAGGGTGGAAGCAGAGGAGAATAACTTACAGCTATATGTCAGTAAAACCTGAGGAGGTCAGATTACTTTACCTATGAGGCTTGTAGTGTCCTATTCATGATACCTCTCCTTTCAGTTATGGAAGTACCCTCAGTCCCTACTCCAAGGCCGTCCCTGCTGTCATAGCCAAAGCCTCAGCCATCTATAACCCCTTCATCTATGCTATCATCCACTCCAAATACAGGTGAGTATCGTCATCTTAATGTGTCCCTCCCCTAGGGCATAACTCAAAACACCATTTTATGTACTGTCCTAACCTTTCATAACCTAAGATTGTTTTGGCAAGTTGCACTAAGGATCCTTTGGTGTGACTGGGCTTGGCCGTCCAGACTGGACTCCTGCAGTGCATTCGGAAAGTATTCAGACCCCTTGACTTTTTCCACATTTTGTTATGTTACAGCCTTATTCTAAAATTGATTAAATTGTTTTTTCCCCCTCATCAATCTACACACAATACCCCATAATGACAAAGCAAAAACAGGTTAACATTTACATAAGTATTTACACATTTACATAAGTATTCAGACACTTTACTCAGTACTTTGTTAAAGCACCTTTGGCAGTGATTACAGCCTTGAGTCTTCTTGGGTATGACGACACAAGCTTGGCACAGCTTTATTTGGAGAGTTTCTCCCATTCTTCTCTGCAGATCCTCTCAAGCTCTGTCAGGTTGGATGGGTAGCGTCGCTGCACAGCTAATATCAGGTCTCTCCAGAGATGTTTGATCGGGTTCAAGTTCGGGCTCAGGCTGGGCCACTCAAGGACATTCAGAGACTTGTCCTGAAGCCACTCCTGCGTTGTCTTGGCTGTGTGCTTAGGGTTGTTGTTCTGTTGGAAGGGGAACCATCGCCCCATTCTGAGGTCCTGAGCGCTCTGGAGCAGGTTTTCATCAAGGATCTCTCTGTACTTTGCTCCGTTCATCTTTCCCTCGATCCTGACTAGTCTCCCAGTCCCTGCCGCTGAAAAACATCCCCACAGCATGATGCTGCCACCACCATGCTTCATCGTAGGGATGGTGCCAGGTTTCCTCCAGACGTGACGCTTGGCATTCAGGCCAAAGAGTTCAATCTTGTTTTCATCAGACCAGAGAATCTTGTTTCTCATGGTCTGAGAGTCCTTTAGGTGCCTTTTGGCACACTCCAAGCGGGCTGTCATGTGCCTTTTACTGAGGAGTGGCTTCCGTCTGGCCACTGTACCATAAAGGCCTGATTGGTGTAGTGCTGCAGAGATGGTTGTCCTTCTGTAAGGTTCTCCCATCTCCACAGAGGAACTCTGGAGCTCTGTCAGAGTGACCATCAGGTTCTTGGTCACCTCACTGACCTAGGCCCTTCTCCCCCGATTGCTCAGTTTGGCCGGGCAGCCAGCTCTAGGAAGAGTCTTGGTGGTTCCAAACTTCTTCCACTTAAGAATGATGGAGGCCACTGTGTTCTTGCGGACCTTCAATGCTACAGAAATGTTTTGGTACCCTTCCCCAGATCTGTGCCTCGACACAATCCTGTCTTGGAGCTCTACGGACAATTCCTTCGACCTCATGACTTGGTTTTCTTCTGACATGCACTGTCAACTGTGGGACCTTATATAGACAGGTGTGTGCCTTTCCAAATCATGTCCAATCAATTGAATTTACCACAGGTGGACTCCAATCAAGTTGTAGAAACCTGTTTTCGCTTTGTCATTATGGGGTATTGTGTGTAGATTGATGAGGATTTAAGGCTGTAACAAAATGTAGGAAAAGTCAAGGGGTCTGAATACTTTCCGAATGCACTGTATAACAACTGACTTGTTACAACTGACTTAGGTGATGACAATAGGGACGATTTGGTGTACTGTATGCTTGACATTGTATCCCTCCTTCCTCTTGCCTCTCTCCTCCCTTTACCCTCTCCTTTCCTTTCTTCTTTGTTGACTCTCCCATACAGAGACACTCTGGCAGAGAAGGTTCCCTGTCTGCACTGCCTGGCCCAGACCCCCAGGAAGGACTGTATCTCTGTGTCCAACAGTGAGTCCTCCTTCAGGGACTCCATGCTCAGCAGACAGTCCTCCACCTCCAAGACCAAGTTCCATAGAGTGTCCTCTATGTCCACCGGAGACACAGTGAGTTAGTGTGCTTTTGTTGGGTTGGGGTGGTAGGGGTAGAGGGGTTGGAGGGTAGGGATAGAGGGGTTGGAGGGTAGGGATAGATGGGTTGGAGGGTAGGGGCAGAGGGGTTGGAGGGTAGGGGCAGAGGGATGTAGGGTAGGGGTAGATCGTAAAGGGGTTGGAGGGTAGGCGTAGAAGGGTGGAGGGTAAGGGTAAGGGTAGAGGGGTTGGAGGGTAGGGGTAGAGGGGTAGAGGGATGGAGGGTAGGGGTAGGGGTAGATGATAGAGGGGTGGAGGGTAGGGGTAGAGGACTTTGAGGGTAGTTGTAGAGGAGTTGGAGGGCAGATGTAGAGGGGTTGGAGGGTAGGGGTAGAGGGGTGGATAGATGCTGCACAAGAATAGTTGTCTCATGTTGCCAGGCATACACAAAGGCTGGAGTCAAGGCTACAAGAACAGAAACGTTCAAACGCAACAATGTACTGCTTTCTTGTACTGCAATCCGTTATTTTGTATGTATGTTTCTGAGAAAAGTGATAAAATGTTGATCACAAAAAAGAAAAACACGGTAAAGCACAGTGCTCTAGAGCTAACTGGACTAAACCATCACCTGTGTGAGATCTTTTCACTATGTCACTATGTAAACAATATCACAAGACATATACCGTATAATGGAGCAGTATTAAGATGTAATCTCCTAAACTGTTTAAAGCTGAGATCCGCGAAAGGTGCCACTGGCTGCCCCAGGCACATTTGTTGTTGCTTTTGTTTTGAGGAGATAGCATCCAGGTTTGTCTGCTGTTCTATCGCACATGCAATGATGTCTGAGGAAAAAAACAGTGCTCTTAGTTTGAAGTAACGTCTTCCTTGTTGTAATATAGCAAACGGACATGGCAGTTTCACCACTATGGATTCCAGCATTAAGACGTGTCTCATGCATTGTTGGCATAACACACAATAACTTTACTTTGTGTATACATGCTGGGTTAGAGCTCAGCTGCTGAGTGAGGACAAAGACTAAAAACCCTTCTAGGTGCCAAGACAAACTCCCTGACACACCCCAGGGCTCTTGACTAACTGGCTAACACATACACAGGCATCCAGCAGCACGCCAGGAGCTCTGGGTCTGATGCTCTCCCAGTGGCCTGTGTGTGTTTAATGCTGTGGATCCATAGGGAGAGGTCTGTAGGGGAAACGGGTGTCCCTCCCTTCAGAGCTGTGTTTCCAGTGGTCCACTGGTCCACTGGTCTGGGGAGGGTGCCATGGGCAGGTTCAGCACTACTGTACCTGCCGGTTCCACTTTAGACCGTCTGGAAGTGCTAAGTCTGCACAATCACAACTGATCCGCAGGAGGTCTATATCCTGGACCTCCTACATATGGACCTACTGGACCTCCTACAGTTCTGTCCAAACACAAAGGATTTCCCCCCAAAAAAACGTTTACATTTTAGAGTTTTCAGAGTTATATAGGCATACTTTCTTGAAACTGAATTTACAGTACATACAGTATACTGAGCAGTGGCTGACCTGGTTGACCTGGCTGACTTGGACCTGGCTGACTTGGTCCTGGCTGACTTGGACCTAGCTGACTTGGCTGACTTGGACTTGGACCTGGCTGACTTGGACCTGGCTGGCCTGGCTGACTTGGCTGACCTGGCTGACTTGGACCCGTGTTGTGTGTAACCTCCACAGCAGATGTGGAGTGATGTCGAGCTGGACCACATGGACCAGCAGGGCCAATCTCTGAGAATCAGCCACTCCTCTGGAGCTCTGAGGGTGAAGGAGTGCAGACAGTCAGCCCAGCAGCAGGCCAAGATAAGGAACAGCAACAGCCAGGAAAAGGTAAGGTAGGAGTTCCAGCCAGCCAACTGTCACTGGGGCGCTGTAATGCTTTTCTGAACATGAAATTAATCTGTCAGGCTGACAGCATAATACAAAATAAAAAATAACAGCTGGTACCTGGTATACTCAGGTTCAGAGATGCTTCTAAAAATGTAGAAAACACAATTATTTATTTATTTTTATGCAATTTGCAATCATTTGCAATGGAACAGAGGCATAGACAGGAGTTATTCAACATATTCTATAGTTGAGAAGAAAACATCCAAATATATGCTCATAAAAAATTATGAGGATGGTAAAAATGTAATTCACACCCCATTTATTTTGGTGCTTTCATAGTGTGAGAGGGGCTCACTGAGCAGCTGTGACCACGACCTGGTGTCTGAATCTGTCAACATGGCTACCATGTCCCTCCTTATGACCAGGGAGGAGGGTGGAGAGGGGTGGCAGGAGGAGGACGAGAGGAAGACCCAGGAGATAGCCCCCCATTCAGCCCTTGAGGTGGAGGAGGCCCCCCCACCCCCAGCCTCACCCCCCAGGACCCCCAGGACCCTGAACAACAACAAACACAGAGACTCTGAGGTTTCCCAGATCATCATCAGCCCCTTGTCAGAGACAACGGGGGACTATAAGGTGGAGAAGCATGGAGCACCAACCCGTGAGGAGAACCTGCTATTGGGCCTGCAGAGTTTAAACTGCTCCACTGAACTGCTGGAATCGGTGGAGAAATTCCTCTCCTGAAACACCCCTGGGGAGTCAGTCTGAAGGTTTTGTGGTGTATGCATGATGTGTGGATGTGGATGTGTTACTGTCATATTACTGTACAATATAGACAATAGAGAGCAAGTGAGGATTGTTATGGTCCACGGAGGTTATACGTACACTGTAACAGAAAACTGTAAATTATACGCACATATTGGGTATTATCAACAGTAAAATGATCTGAAACTGTTTTCTGCAGCATACTGTAAATTATGGTGCATTGTGGGAAAATGTTGTGGGCGGGGAAATAATTGCTGTATTTTGAATGGTACTGTAATTCCACCCCACAGAATACAGTACCGTACAGTATCTTTGGAGCGCTAAAAACCTCTTGACCACTAGTGGGTGCATGTCATTGTTGTTTCTGTCTCATTAACATACAGCAGGGTTCTTCAATTCCGGTCCTGGAGGGCCGAAACACTTCTGTTTTTTATTTCTACCTGGTAGTTAATTGCGCTCACCTGGTGTCCCAGGTCTGAATTAGCCCCTGATTAGAAGGAGAGGATGAAAAACAGAGGTGTTTCGGCCCTCCAGGACCGGAATTGAAGAACCCTGACATACAGTACCAGTCAAAAGTTTGGACACACCTACTCATTCCAGGGTTTTTCTTTATTTTTTACAATTTTCTACATTGTAGAATAATAACTATGAAATAACACATATGGAATCATGTAGTAACCAAAAAAGTGTTAAACAAATCAAACTATATTTTATATTTGAGATTCGTCAAAGTAGCCACCCTTTGCCTTGATGACAGCTGTGCACACTCTTGGCATTCTCTCAACCAGCTTCATGAGGTAGTCACCTGGAATGCACTTCAATTAACAGGTGTGCCTTGTTTAAAGTTAATTTGTGGAATTTATTTCCTTTGAGCCAATCAGTTGTGTTGTGACAAGGTAGGCGGGGTATACAGAAGATAGGCCTATTTGGTAAAAGACCAAGTCCATGTTACGGCAAGAACAGCTCAAATAAGCAAAGAGAAACGACAGTCCATCATTACTTTAAGAAATGAAGGACAGTCAATCTGGAAAATGTCAAGAACTTGTCGCAAAAACCATCAAGCGCTATGATGAAACTGGCTCTCACGAGGACCGCCACAGGAAAGGAAGACCCAGAGTTACCTCTGCAGAGTTACCAGCCTCAGAAAACGGCAATTAACTGCACCTCAGATTGTGAGTTATAGATCTGTCATTCTCATTGAAATCTTGTCTAAGAAGTGGTAGATCTGTGCTATGTATGTTATTTCTATGCTTCCCATTCTTAAGTTTTGTTTTTTCATCTTTTACTTTCAGTTTTGTACACCAGCTTCAAACAGCTGAAAATACAATAGTTTTGGTTATGGAAAATATATTTCACAGCAGTTTAGATGGTACAATGACTCTCTATACACTATACTTGCTTGTCATATAAACTGAAATTAGGCAAACTATTAGAATTTTTGCAACCAGGAAATGGCGTAGCGATTTCTGCATGGTGCATCTTTAAACCTTAAATTGTTGAGCATTTTGCCATGTCGTTTTGGTCTGTTTTTCCCTGTAGTCGCTGCCAGCTTGGAAGCCTTTGTTAAGGCCTCTAGAAGTGCAAATAATGTAAAACACCAAATATTCATTAATATACTGTCATGTGTAAACACTTTACCTAGCAACCAACCTGCTTGCACCAATCCCTTGTAATTACAGTAAAATACTGTGAAATACAAACCCCTCCCGTCAATGAATTTCATTCATTCATCCATTAATTCATTCCGATTACAGTAGCACCGACTTTTTTAACAGTATAATACAGTCCATTTTACAGTATTGTACTGTGTGTGATTACACAGTACTTGCTTTGATACCGTATTTATATTAAAGTAGGTGTACTGTAATATGAAATACAGAATTGTACTGCCTGTAAGCTACTGTCAAATTTAAAGTAACCCCTTTACAGTGTGTGTTAAATACAATCAGCTGTAATCACTACTGTTCTCGCAGTTGCAACTGTGTGTAGCCAGCCAATCATCTGGTCTTTGTGTATAGCCAATCAGCAACTAACTTTTTCACAACTTTCAGAGGGTGTGCGATTTACTGTATGATCTTGACACACTTCTATCCAAGTATATGTGTTTGTCTTATGTATTTTTTATTTAACTAGGCAAGTCAGTTAAGAACACATTCTTATTTACAATGACGGCCTACACTGGCCAAACCCAGATGATGCTGGGCCAATTGTGCGCCGCCCTATGGGACTGGTTGTGATACAGCCTGGAATCGAACCAGGGACTGTAGTGACGCCTCAAGCACTGAGATGCAGTGCCTTAGACCGCTGCGCCACTCGGGAGCCCGTATGTATGATCTTATGACAAACAAATAATTGTGTCTCCTACAGCAGGCCACTGAGTAGGTTGCGCTTTACCTGCTACACAGCCTAAATCAGGGTTCTTCAATTCCGGTCCTGGAGGGCCGAAACACTTCTGTTTTTAATTTCTACCTGGTAGTTAATTGCACTCACCTGGTGTCCCAGGTCTGAATTAGCCCCTGATTAGAAGGAGAGGATGAAAACCAGAGGTGTTTCGGCCCTCCAGGACCGGAATTGAAGAACCCTGGCCTAAGTAGTAGCTACCATCATCACACTAGGACATACAGACAGACACTGAAACGACTGGGATGGACTTGCTTCTTGGTGCACAACCCAAAGGTTTGAAGGTTCTTTCTGAATGTGCACATTCTAAAACCAACCAGCACATCAGTAGAGGACCAACTAATTCACCAGAAATCAATAAGACAAAATATAAACTTGATTCAAACCAAATGATGCAGCCCAAAACAAATCATCTAGACTCAAGCACTGTTACTATACATATGGTACACTTTACTTAGGGTGAAATGTAATGGACTGTAGAACATTTGATAATTTCTTTTGATATAACGTTTGGAATAAAATCTAATCATTATTGAAATCCAGGCTCTGTCGTAGCCGGCCGCAACCCGGAGACCCATGGGGCGGCACACAATTGGCCCAGCGTCGTCCAGGGTAGGGGAGGGAATGGCCGGCAGGGATGTAACTCAATTTGGTAGAGCATGGCGTTTGCAACGCCAGGGTTGTGGGTTCGATTCCCACGGGGGGCCAGAATGAAAAATAATAATAAGAAAAATAATGTATGCACTAACTGTAAGTCGCTCTGGATAAGAGCGTCTGCTAAATGACTAAAATGTAAATGTTTAGGGTGTATTTTGTGCGTGATTAGACTTTTTTTTCAAACTGTCTACAACTGGGTTTGTAAGCCCCCTTGGACTGTGGAGAATGTCTTTATCATCTGTCACAAGTACTGTATGTTCTGTTGTACAGTGGGGGGAAAAAAGTATTTAGTCAGCCACCAATTGTGCAAGTTCTCCCACTTAAAAAGATGAGAGAGGCCTGTAATTTTCATCATAGGTACACGTCAACTATGACAGACAAAATGAGAAAAAAAATCCAGAAAATCACATTGTAGGATTTTTAATGAATTTATTTGCAAATTATGGTGGAAAATAAGTATTTGGTCAATAACAAAAGTTTCTCAATACTTTGTTATATACCCTTTGTTGGCAATGACACAGGTCAAACGTTTTCTGTAAGTCTTCACAAGGTTTTCACACACTGTTGCTGGTATTTTGGCTCATTCCTCCATGCAGATCTCCTCTAGAGCAGTGTTGTTTTGGGGCTGTCGCTGGGCAACACGGACTTTCAACTCCCTCCAAAGATTTGCTATGGGGTTGAGATCTGGAGACTGGCTAGGCCACTCCAGGACCTTGAAATGCTTCTTACGAAGCCACTCCTTCGTTGCCCGGGCGGTGTGTTTGGGATCATTGTCATGCTGAAAGACCCAGCCACGTTTCATCTTCAATGCCCTTGCTGATGGAAGGAGGTTTTCACTCAAAATCTCACGATACATGGCCCCATTCATTCTTTCCTTTACACGGATCAGTCGTCCTGGTCCCTTTGCAGAAAAACAGCCCCAAAGCATGATGTTTCCACCCCCATGCTTCACAGTAGGTATGGTGTTCTTTGGATGCAACTCAGCATTCTTTGTCCTCCAAACACGACGAGTTGAGTTTTTACCAAAAAGTTCTATTTTGGTTTCATCTGACCATATGATATTCTCCCAATCCTCTTCTGGATCATCCAAATGCACTCTAGCAAACTTCAGACGGGCCTGGACATGTACTGGCTTAAGCAGGGGGACACGTCTGGCACTGCAGGATTTGAGTCCCTGGCGGCGTAGTGTGTTACTGATGGTAGGCTTTGTTACTTTGGTCCCAGCTCTCTGCAGGTCATTCACTAGGTCCCCCCGTGTGGTTCTGGGATTTTTGCTCACCGTTCTTGTGATCATTTTGACCCCACGGGGTGAGATCTTGCGTGGAGCCCCAGATCGAGGGAGATTATCAGTGGTCTTGTATGTCTTCCATTTCCTAATAATTGCTCCCACAGTTGATTTCTTCAAACCAAGCTGCTTACCTATTGCAGATTCATTCTTCCGAGCCTGGTGCAGGTCTACAATTTTGTTTCTGGTGTCCTTTGACAGCTCTTTGGTCTTGGCCATAGTGGAGTTTGGAGTGTGACTGTTTGAGGTTGTGGACAGGTGTCTTTTATACTGATAACAAGTTCAAACAGCTGCCATTAATACAGGTAACGAGTGGAGGACAGAGGAGCCTCTTAAAGAAGAAGTTACAGGTCTGTGAGAGCCAAAAATCTTGCTTGTTTGTAGGTGACCAAATACTTATTTTCCACCATAATTTGCAAATAAAATCATTAAAAATCCTACAATGTGATTTTCTGAATTTTTTTTCTCAATTTGTCTGTCATAATTGACGTGTACCTATGATGAAAATTACAGGCCTCTCTCATCTTTTTAAGTGGGAGAACTTGCACAATTGGTGGCTGACTAAATACTTTTTTTTTCCCACTGTATGTGCACATCATCTTGTATTTCCTGTAGGTACCAGAGTCCAATTAAATGA